AAGTCGTACTCTTGAAGTCGTACTCTTGAAGTCGTACTCTTGAAGTCGTTCAATCCATCTGGCGATTTGACCCTCCGGGTTCTTAAATTGCATCAGCCATTTAAGGGCTGCATGATCGGTCCGGAATAAAAATTTCCTTCTGTACAGGTATTGGTAGAAGTGTTCCACGCACTTTACAACTGCCAGGAGTTCTCTTCTTGTGACACAGTAATTTCGTTCAGGTTTCGAGAGCACTTTCCTAAAATAACCTAGTACTCTTTCTTTTCCTTCCTGAATCTGTGAAAGCACTCCTCCAATTCCCACATTACTAGCGTCAGTATCCAGGATAAATTCTCCCCCTGGTAGTGGGTAGCCTAGTATTGGTGCTGTTGTTAAATGCTTCTTTAAAGTTTTGAAGGCAGTTTGGCAGTCTTCGTCCCAGCAGCATTCTCTCGCTTCTTCTGTGAGTCGCGTTAGTGGTTTAGCAATATCTGCAAACTTCTTTATGAATCTTCGGTAGTACGTACAAAACCCAAAAAAAACTTCTTATTTGGTGTTTATCAGTTAGTTGTGGCCACTCTTTGATAGAAGCGACTTTTTCTTTATCTACAGCCATGCCATCCGTACTGACTATATGGCCCAGGTAATTGACTTTATTTTGGAATACATTTTTTGGTGTTTAGTATCAGTTGGGCAGCTTGAAGTCTTTTAAAAAACATCTAAGTTCTTTAGATGTTTATCTAATGTCTTCCCTAAGACTATTATGTCGTCTAAATAAACCAGGCATGTTTTCCAGAATAACCCTCTCAATACGTTTTCCATAAGTCTTTCAAATGTCGCGGGGACATTACATAGTCCAAATGGCATGACATTAAATTGCCACAATCCAGATCCGATGGTAAAAGCTGTATTTTCTTTGTCTACTGGGTCCATTTCCACCGGCCAATATCCAGACTTTAAATCTAAGGTAGAAAATAGTTTACTTCCGGCCAATGTGTCCAAGGTATCGTCGATACGAGGCAGAGGGTAACTTAACTGTCTTTCTTGGTAACATTGTTCAACTGACGGTAATCAACACATAACCTCGTAGTTCCATCCTTTTTCTGGACCAGTACTACCGGAGAGACCCGTGGACTGGTAGAAGGTCCTATCACCCTGTCTTCCTTCATTTCCTGCTTTCAGCTTCCTCTCTCTTGGCCTTTCCAATCAGAATTCCTCGACCAAACTGTTCATCGTGATTCCAAGGTTCCATCATTACAGGTTACAGGTGTTCCTTCTGCCATAGTTTCTTGAAGCCGTGCTACTATAACGGTTTCACTTCTTCCAGGTACCACCGTATCCTCCTGTACAGCAACTGGCACGGTACTGTCTCCATATGGATGTAGAAATACCTCTTCGGCACCAACTTTGATCACTCTGTTCTTAAAATCCAACTGGAAACCATCTAAGTTCATTACATCCATTCCAAGTATAACATCTTCTTCGATATCAGCGACAATAACAGTATGAGTGAATTTTTCTGTACCAATTCCCAATTGAACATGGATTTCCCCATGTATGTTGGCACTTTCACCGGTGGCAGTCCACAGTCGCAATCTTGTTGGTAGAAATAACAGTATGAGTGAATTTTTCTGTACCAATTCCCAATTGAACCTGGATTTCCCCATGTATGTTGGCACTTTCACCGGTGGCAGTCCACAGTCGCAATCTTGTTGGTAGAAGTTTCTTACGGTTATTATTAATTATTATTAAAAACATGTATTATAATATCCAAATCAAAATTCTACAAAATTTCAACAGCTATTCACAATTTATTAAACTATTAAAAATTGTTATTAACATCTATAAAATAATTTTGTACGCCAATGTATCGCGTGCACTTCGGTTAGATCCGCAGCAAACCTGTCATATTATGTGTATTAAGTGGGAGAACTGGCAAAAGCCATTCCAACTTCTGCCCCTGCTATACGAAGGATTTGCCTTCTCATCCATCCATGGATAACTGGCAAAAGCCTTCCTATCTAACTTCTGTCACTTCAAGTGTTCTTGTTCTGTGGTCCCTGCTATACCTAACGTAATAAAAGTTGAAAAGTCTTTTGGTAGGTAGAGAGGGGGTAAACGTCAAACCACGTCGGGCGGCTCCGAGAATTTCACAGTAATGTTTACCTGCCAGTTTCGTTTCATAGAATAAGTAATTTTAAATTGTTATCGGCGGAACCGGACAATCGCATGTATTTATGGATTATAAATAATTATTGATCATGTATTATATTCAAATTATAATTTTACAAAATTTCAACAGCTATTCACAATTTATTAAACTATTTACTCGAAATTGGGTAATGTTGTAGTTGACGGGTCTAGAAATGCGCATATTCACACCACTCTGCACTGACGTCTAGAATTTGAATTTGCTCAAGCCACGTTGCCAAATCTCCACTTTCATTTTAGCTTGCTTTATTTCATAGTTTATTATTTAGACAAATTGTAACCTCTGTAAATTAAAATGTATGATAAATAAATATAAAGATTTATATTATATTTTGAAATAACAATTCTGTTTTGTTTTATAAGACAGTTTTAATAGATTTTAAATTTGGTAATTATCACTATTGAAAGGTATTATTGACATTAAAAATAACGATCGTATTACTTGAAAATCTTTAGAATTTTTTTAATTTTATGAGATTTTTAATCGATGTAAAAATTGGTAAATAGATGATTACAAGTAAAATAGTTATTTCAATCTGCTTATTCCCTGATTCCAAATAATTAAATATAACCTGGCAACTATGTAACGATTCCAACTGACAGAACTAGTCGGAACAGCAATGGTGCGGTGGCGCATTTCCAGACCCTTCAACTACAACATTACCCGAAATTGTTATTAACATCTATAAAATAATTTTGTACGCCAATGTATCGCGTCCACTTCGGTGAGATCCGCTGCCAACCTGTCAATTTATGTGTATAATGCTGCGTTTGAGAATCCACATCGGATGCATTTTTTACATCTCGAGCGTTTTTTTATCCACATCGGACACATCTGTCATCCCATTACATTTACGTATACTGAATCACGTGATCAAAGATTTTTTACATCTCAGATGCATCCGATGTGGATTCTCAAACGCAGCAAAAGTGGGAGAACTGGTAAAAGCATTTCCAACTTTTACTTCTGTTCTAGAAAGCATTTGCCAACGCGCGAAATTTTCGAAAACCAAAAAACTCTGTGAAATGAGTAGGGATGATGTTTTGGGCTGGACTTATATAGGTTCATATTTTTGGTAAGGAAAGAAAACTCAAAGTCTTAAACACAAGTAGGTATATATATATTTTTTTTAATAGTATATACTGGTTTCGCTCAAAATGACCATCACCAGAGCTATAGGTACTGAAAGTTTGGTAAAACAATTTTTATAATAATACATAATGAAATTATATAAGTTACCTATATACCTATGGTAAAATAGTATTTATTACATTAAAAATCAATGACATTGCTAAATGCAACTGGCATATAAAAATTTATAATTGGTTAAATATTAATGATTACTTCATAGATAAGGTAGACTATTTCATTTAGAATACATACCTAAAACAAAGTTAAAAAACGGCAAAATTATTAACTAAAAACTAGAAGACGTCTTTACCCATAGATAAATTAATAATATTAATAATAATAATTTATCTATGCGTCTTACCTATAAGTAAGCTTATTTTTGTTGCAAAAGCAACAACAAATTAATTACTTCAAAATTCTGAATTATTTATTGATTTAAAACAAATTCCTAAGGACACATGGGTTTCCAAAAAGATCTGGCTACGTCGCTATTAAAAATTGAAACATGTTCTATTTCTCGTTATAACTGTCTTACTCGACAAGGCTCGTTAGCTCAGTTGGTTAGAGCACCACACTGATTTTATCGAAGTGGAGGTCGTGGGTTCAAATCCCACATGAGCCCGTTTTTTTTTTTATTTCATAATTGAATATTTTCAAGTCTGTAGGATTACTGAAATATTATCAATTTCAAAAGATGTTACTTTATATGTCAAAATTAAAAAAAATAATTTTCTCAATCCGCTAAACATTTTCAGGAAAAATCAATCTCTATAAAGGTACAACGGCCTATTGATTTTGAAAAAAAACTTGATTAAAAATGGAGGGGTTTGGGGGATTGAAACTTATAAAAAATCATAAAACGAAAACGAAAAACAATATATCAATTTGAAATTTTCAGGAAAAATCAAGCTCTACGCAATAATGGAACGAAGCCCTTTTTTTTGTGTGCCATTGGCTTCAACTACCAGGGTTATTTCGCCTCGTGTTCTGAGTAGGCTTTGTTACTGTTTCCCGGTGGTCAAGGGAGTTTAAATTAAAAAAAAATCATAAATTAAAAACGAAAAACAATATCAACTTGGATTTTTTAAGACATAACAATCGCTATAAGGGTACGAAGCACAGACCGTACGAAGCCTATTGATATTGAAAAAAATCTGATTTTTATAATGGAGGGGTTAAGAGGGGATTCAAAACTAAAAAAAAATCATCATACAAAAACGAAAAAAATAATCATAAAAGAACAATTGAATTTAGGTGGGGAATTTGTAATTTCCATACCTATCACTCGTACATGCGAATTATATGTATTCCATAATGTTATAAAGGCCTATTTTACGAGATAAATATCAAATTAATTAATTTTAAAGTCTGTAAACTAGATCTTTATTATTTTAAGGTGTTATTCAATGAAATTTGAACGGTTCCTACTAGTTAGGCAGTCCGAAATACTCAAATATTACCATTTCAAGTATTTTAAATTGCCTACCGTTATTAAATTCATAAGAAAAGCATTTGATTTCGGTGATTTGATTGGATAATTTTCGGTGTTGTCCACGGTTGTCTAGACAACCTTTTGACACTTTGATTTTTGAGGGTGGTATCTGACAGTTGACAACGCGGGAAATTTAGTAAATAAACATTGGTCCATATTTTAAAAACAAAATCTTTTTTAATCAAAATGAGTGATTACCCGACTGCTGATGAAGAATTTGAGTTAATGTATGGAGATGAACTCGAACTATTGCAGGATCACCAAGATGAAGGTATTAAATATTTTCTTTATTTAATATTTTTAGGTTATAATATTTAATATAATTTTCAGAAGATTGTGAACCCTCAATAAAAACTCCTAAACCATCTACGTCAGCTACGCAAATAAGTAGTAAAAGTAAGAGTGTTTTAGAACCTTCTCAATTTTCCCAAACTTTAAATAATTCTCCTTCACTTTTCTCCACACATAATGAGCAGCAGGAGTCTCAAAATCAAAATTTATCCAGGGGACCATCTACTTCTAATGCTTTTACTGAAGAATTTACACAGCCTGGTGTCCTAGAAAATTTAACACAAGATCCATTATCTAGAAAAAGAAATGTTGATGAATTATTTGGCGATATTGATGACCTAGACTTTGAAAACTTCGAGGAACAGCCAAGCAAGAAAACAAAACCTAGTAAAGAAGAGGAATTACGTGAATTAATGGAATACATAATACTCTTAAGAAAAATAAACAAAGAAAAAAGCAATATTCTTTCAGTGAACAAAAGTGTTTCAACAAGTAGTGCATCTAGGGATAAATACAACCTCTCTTTTAGAGTCCCAAAATATCCTTTTGTTGGTCTTAAGAGACATGATGGTGAAAAGATTTACATAAGATTTCATTCTGAAGAATACGAAAAAGAAGAAATTCAAAAAATTGTTAAAGAATCATCGGGAAGTGATATTCTAGGTGATAGCAAAAAGAGGGTATGGGAAGAAGCTAAAGCTTTAGTGAGTATACTTTAAAATGAATAATTTAACAAAAAATATTGCATATCAGCTTATTATTAAAACTTTATAACGTCTTGGTTTAGGAACATCTCTTATATGTAAAATTACTAAATACACAGTAGACACAATAAATTTCCTACGTACTTGGTGCTTGCAATATTTTCTAATGCACTTGCCATTTTTATATAACTGTAAAATTATATACACATACAAAATTTTGAATCAATTATAATACACACGATACAGCTATGAATAAATAAAGTCTGACTTATATGTCAAAAGAAAAGGTTTATTACAGTAAAACCAAACGAAAACTTATATTAAGTTGATCAGTAGTGGTATTCTCATCTTTCAATACAGTACATGTCGAGATGCCTATCATCGTTCGACTGAATGCGATTCTTATGTAATGTCTCTCTCTATTTAATAATAGCCTTTATTGCCCAACAAATATAAATCCATTTACAGAGCAACCCAAAAAATAATTAATAATATAGTAAAGGTAACAAATATATATGGATATTATGAAAAACAGTGAATACAAAATAAATAAATATAAAAGATAACAAAAAAATTTTAGCCATTGTCATAATTGGTACAAGCAACTGCTTTAATACTTTCCAAACTATCTGTGAAGATATCTGATGAATTACAATATAAGTTAAAGTTATCACACATGACATTGAGAGGTTAGCTTAATAGAATATTTGTTCTAGATCTATTACAATAAAAAGTTAAATGATATCTGTTATTATACCAGTGAACATTTAAATTATTTTCAGCTAAAATAACAGGACAGTCAATTAATCCATTTGTCATTTTGTGTAAAGAAGTCATAGAAGCTAAAATTCTCCGAAATTCAAGGCTATCCATGTTAAAACTATCCAAAAGTAGCTGATAATCAATTCCTCTTGGAGGGTAGACAACCATTTACTTTGAAAGCTAAATATTTCAAACACTTCCTTTGAACAGATTCAACTAGGGCTGCCATACCTCCCGATTTAGGCGGGAGCCTCCCGATTTCTCACACTCCCTCCCGCTTTTTAAACTAAACTATAAACCTCTCGATTTTTCAGTAATCTCCTAATTTATCCCGAATTTACATTGAATAGATATTAAAAAATTATTAATATGCTAATGTTACTATCAAATTATCGGTCATTCCGACCATATCTACAAACGTCGTAATCTCTACAAGCGCCATCTTTTATATGTCTGGGGCCGATGGATTTGAAAACAAACCCTAAAAATTTCTGATGAGTTTGCCGTTGGTGTAGACATTGACCTACTTTTAGAAGAATTTGTAAAGTTCTCATCATATTTGGAAAATCCTTCACTAAATTTTAAAGATATTAAAATTGACCAGCAATGGGTTTATTATTTTAAGAAGCATAGATCTCCAAATTTTTTAAAATTTGCTCTTATGTTTTTTCTCTTCCTTATTCAAACGCGATGAGTGAGAACATTTTTAGTCTGTTTGTAGCCTGGAGGAAAGAAAGAAATTCTCTTTCTATAGAAACAGTATCTAAACTAATGATTAAATTTAATTATACTGAAACTTGCCAAGAATTTGCAAAAAGTTTTCAAAAGGAAGGAAAAAGTCTTCTTGGTAGAAGTAGGAAACAATTCAAAATATTTGTAATTTTAGAATAATTAATTGGTTACAATAGGAATTTGACATTTTTTTGAGAAGTTTAACTATTTTAATGTAAGCATTTTTTGTTGAATTATGTATGATAATAACTTTGTATATTTAGTAGGTATTTGAATATTAAGTATTAAAATAAATGTTTTTTCTTCAAAAATTGAAACCTCCCTCTTTTTATTTCTGAAAATCTGGCAGCCCTAGATTCAACACTAATCATGTGAATATTATAGTAGTGTAACAACCCCCTAGTTTATGGGGTTATTTTATGTAAAAAATGACTTATTACTGAAAATTGGTACTTACTTATATTTTCTACCCTAAGTTGGATCTTGTCGAGTATAGAGCGGTTTAATAATGCTACTGGAATTCTACCATTGATTTACTCTTATCCGATAAGGGAGTATTTTCGTCATGGTTTATATGCGTGAATGTTTTCGAACTATTCTGGGGAATATTTTACCACTTAAATTCTTTCGTTAGTCTTACTATGTATTCTCAATGTTAATAATAAAAACCTTTTAAATAATAATTTTTTATATTGTATTTTGCTGATATATGTGTTTTGTCATATTTTACCTGTTCTTTAATTGGGAATTTTCTGTAGAACAGTTTATAAAAAAAAAAAATAAATAAAGATTAAAATTATTTAAGGAAACAAAAAAATGAAAGACTTTAACGAAACAAAATGGTTGAGTTGAATAAAAAAAAAAGAACTAAAATTAAGATTTAACAAAACAAATTTACATCTGAATATGAACAAAAGGATAAATAATAATAACTGAAATGTCTTTGGATAAATTGTGGTATGTCAGAAGAATCTAACCCAATCAATTTTTAGGGGTGATTACTGACGAGTAACAAAGACAAATTTAACTAGAATCTATAAAATCTAAGACATAAACAACGATGCTAATTAATTGATTAAGCCAGTTTACTCGGACGGTGAGAACAAATAAATAAAAAAACTTATAGTTAAACATTAACATAGACCATCCACTTTAAGTGGAATTTTAGACGTTATGGTAATTTTTCATAGCCAAGGTGAGACCTTGTTATAAGCAGCTTCTGGGGGAGTGAATATTTATGAATAAAGGCTACTGCCCAAACAATGAAAAATAAATGAACTATACTTTTCCCAAAGGTATAAATCAGAGAGAGTAATAATATGGCCTAAATACTAGGTCAGAGGACAAAATTTTACTAGAATATTCTAGCTACGAGTCATAACAAAAATCAAGAATACTTGGTTAGTTTAAACTTTAATTCTGACTTACCCTATATCAGAGTTGACAGCTACTCTCAGGGGTGGCAGATAATTCAAAAAAAGGAGGTCGAAAAATCAAACTAACTCCCGTTAATACCTTGCACTCAAAATAACCGATACAGTACCCTTTTCCAAAAAGGAAAAACTGCCCCAAATAAGGCGCTGTAGCCGATAACCTTTTAAGTCTCAAAATGAAGCGACATGAGGAGCGCGCCAAAGGCACGAAGTGCTCTTTGGTACTCCCTGGCATCGACTGTTTTTTTTTCTAATCCAACTAGCGTTGAACAATGTGGATTAACTGTTGTATCAGCAACATGTGTAGTTTCATAGCCCACATAGTTCAGTTATTTTCCATAGCTTGCGAAACTAAGTACATTGCCCAGTTTCGCAAAAAAACTTTATTAACAATTCCATGATGTTTTTTTTAATGTCAAGAAACCTTTGTTTTAAATTATAACTTTGTTTTTATAACTATGTCCGGTTGAATTATTGAATAAACTATGACATATTCTTTTATTTGCAAAATTACACATTTATCTATGAAATGTTTACTTGGAAAATTATGATTTTGGTTATACCGAGTGACTCGAATAAATTTTATTTAATTTAAAAAATTAGAATTATATTTAATAATCACTGATTATTACAGTAGGGATCCCAGATAGTTGAACAGTACTCAAACTTAGTACGGATGTATGAATCTATAATGTTTTTAATGCTCCAATCTGTAGTAAATATTTTTCTGTTGTATACTTTACACTTAGCTGCATTTAGCATTAACCTATTTTGCATGCACCAATCTGATAATCTATCTAGATCAGGGGTGCACAACATACGGCCCGCCAGTTTCGTTTTGGCGGTCCGCCGGCTGTTGACTAGTTTGGCCCGAATACGTCAAATTATACATTATTCAGTAACAAACTTGCATTTAGGCCGACAACCTTTTTTTTTAGAAAACTGGATGATCTTCAGAATGGGTTATACATTATAGGCTGACGAACTTTTTTTTTTTTAGAAATCTGAACCGACTAATTGTAGGCTCAGGCCTCTCTTGGCGGCCCTCGTACATTTACGATTTTTGAAATCTGGCCCTTTGAAAATCTGAGTTGTGCAGGCCTGATCCTGCTGAAGCACTAAACAGTCATACATGACTAGTACTAATAGATATTTTAAAATCATTTGCATAAATAAGTCTACAAGAATTTAAATGGTGATCGAGATCATTAATAAATAACACGTAACGTATTGAGTTCGCACATAAGATGTATTAAATCTCTTGAACCTGTACTACTTTCTGCATACTAAATTACTGAACTCCTTTCTTTTTTTAGACTATAGGGGTATAAGAATATCATTAAAAAATAAGTATTGTTTCTATGAAATAAAACAAATATGTCGAAGATGATAAACATGTTTACATTTTTTAATAATTATATGAACATACTTGTTTAAAAATGTACAAATTCTACAGTTTTTGATCATCATTTTAACACAAAATATGAGACAAATATTGAGTTTCTAAATAAATAAATAAATAAATAAATTATTTTTCAGTTACAGAAACAAGAAACAGATAAAACAACGCAACAAGATAATGACGAAATCATTGTATTAGAAAAAACAGAAGGAGAAAAACAATTATGGACCGACCTCTACAGACCTAAAAAATATATAGAATTGTTGAGTGATGAAAGTACCAACAGGCTTATGTTGAAGTGGTTAAAACTCTGGGACAAAGCCGTTTTTAATAGAAGACTCAGGGTTAAACCAATAAAGCATACAGACAATAATAAATTTAAATTCAAAAAATTTGAGCTAAGTGCTGATTTAGATGAACATGGCAGACCAAGGTATAAAGTTGCCTTGTTGTGTGGACCTCCAGGTTTAGGTAGTTTCTTTTGAATTTTCTTATAGTAATAATAAAAAAAAAAAGATAATTAAGAACGTTTGGTAATCAAGAAATATAGAAGGTATAAAATATCTTATACAGCGTGAGTCAAAAGTAAAGGTACCCTTTGGGAACGCGAGACAGAGACAAGAGGCAAGCGACCGCAATGTGTCTTTACGCCTGAATCACATGTAATTAAATGAAGCACATTTGGTACAGTGCGACCGATGAAAGAAATGCAACAGCTTTTTTAACACGACAGTGTTTGCTGCCTGTCGCTGTCGCTTTGCATCAGTGTCGCATTCCTAAATTGTACCTTAAGGACTATATTCGATAAAAAGAAAAGCATTGATTTTTAAAAATATTCAAGACGTGTTAATTTTCTAGCTACACGCACTTAATACAAAAATAACATTTAGAAAACTACAAATTATTACTTATGCACTGGTTATCAAAAAAAAATCTCATTTTAGGTAAAACTACTTTGGCTCACGTTGCTGCCAAACATGCCGGTTACAATGTTGTAGAGATAAACGCATCAGATGACAGAAGTACAGAGGCTTTTAAAACGTCTTTAGAAAGCGCAACTCAAATGAAATCAGTGGTAGACCAACAAGGTCGACCAAACTGTCTTATTTTCGATGAAATAGATGGAGCTCCACAGTCATCTATAGACTATTTAATAAAATTTATAAACGGAACAGCCACCACCAAACCTAAAAAGGGGAAAAATCATAAAGATTTCATTTTGAAACGGCCTATAGTTTGTATTTGTAATGATGTATATGTGCCGGCCTTACGACCTTTAAGACAAATTGCTCTTGTAATACACTTTCCTCAAACGGCCAGCTCTAGATTAGCCGAAAGGTTAATGTGTATATCTCGAAGAGAGTCTATAAAAACCGATCTAGGAGCAATGATGGCTCTGGCAGAGAAAAGCAATAATGATATTAGGTCTTGTTTGTCAGTACTGCATTTTTTTAAGGCTCAGAAAAAGGCTGTAACTTTATCCGATGTTCATAAGATTAATATTGGCCAAAAAGATATGCAAAAAGGTAAGATTTAAAATTAAATAATACTTTGCCCATTCACACAGTATATCTATTTTGTCATTTTTCACCTTTTCTACTGTTTAACATCTATTGGTTTTATTGAATATAATTAAAAATTACTATATTTACCTAATTATTATTTAGATAATTTTTACGCTATTTTTCAAATAATTCTTGATTTGATTGTGTAACATAATAACAAAGACATTGCAGTCGTATTGTCTGAATCTGATTCAGATTGATTAGTTTATTTGTCTTTTCAAGAAGATATATGTTTAGTTTGTAATAAGTCTTTTTTTTATGCATCAATGTACTGTTTTTTTTATGCATCAATGTACTGTTTTTTTTTAGGTTTATTTACTGTTTGGCAGGAAATCTTTCAAATACATCGACCAAAACAGAATCCCATATTTCAAGAAAAAGATGCTTCATACAAGCAAACCAATAAAATCAGGATGACAAGTGTTTTACAAACAGTATCCTCGTTTGGAGATTATGAACGAGTCGCACAAGGAGTTTACGAAAATTTTCCCTTATTAAAATTAAAAGATACGACGCTGGAGGGTTTAACTAGAGCCATGGATTGGTTCGTATTTAACGATATTGTTAATAAACAAATTTATGCTTCACAGCATTATACTTTACTTTCGTATCTGCCCTACTCTTTTGTCGTTTGGCATTTTTTGTTTGCTACCTCGCAGAGACAGGAGTTACGTTTTCCGACTATGGGTTATGAGGTAAGTTATTTTGATGGTTTGGTAATAATTCGTTGGTGGAAAGACAAAGAAGCATAAATAACTCCAATTTAGCTATTTTACAGAAGGTGCAATTAAACTTTGCTGTATAGTACATATGCGTCTTAGTGTATTTAATTTGCCATATTATGTTAACTATAAAGAGGAGAAATACGCCCCTTTGTCACATCATAGATATCCACTTTAACAGATTTTTGATGGTCCTAATTCAAATTGGGCATTTTTCGACTTACGCTCCTTTGTCTTTCCACAACGAATTATTTGCTTATCTTTTTATGGCCCATTCCTTTTTTTTTAATTTATCTTCCAGTTGATTATGCAAAAGTGAGACTTAAAATAATAAACAAAAAATAAGAGTACTGTAAAGAATACAAATAAGTGTCGAAAGCATTACAAATACAAATGAAACTGTGTTTTATTGAAATAACACCTAAACGAAAAACTAATTAAGGTGTAAAAAACAAAATAAAGGAATTCCATATAGTTTTTGGGTGCCCATGTTTGAAATTGATGAGTGAAATTTCTAGTCCTATGAAAAAAATTTGTAATCTTGAAATCGAACTCACCAAAATTATTAGAAAATTTTCTTTTAAAACTTTCTCCTACTTTTGGGTAGAGAAATTGGAAATAATTCAATTCACGAGATGTCAAGAGTCCGAATCTAAACAAAATAAAAATCCATAACCTCATTTAATATTTATGTTTCTACTCTGTTATTTGTTTTTTTCGAGCTATTTTTATATACATATTTGCATTATGTACTTTCCTTTTAAATACACACAAAAACAATATTGATTTATATTTTAAGACATGTATACCTAGGAAAAGGTAAAGGTAAAATTATATTATAAGCACATACAATAATATATAAGACAACAGAAAATATTAACAAATACAAATAAGTGTTAGACAAAATGACAAGAAACATGGAGCAACTTTTTAATTATAAAGAGTAGTGTCACAAAAGTATTCCTGCACACTATGTATACCCTTTTTTCAATAGTTGATTAGATTGCATTAGATTTGAAACGAGTCCACCACGTCCTTTTCAGATCTTTTGTGGGACTCCTTTATTTAGAGTATGTCGTTTAGGTTGGTCTTTTTTATTAGACTTAATAGCTTTAACAGTGGCTCTTGCATGTAGTTCCATGTGTCTTTTCCTAATGTTAGAAGGCTCAATCAAGCCAGGCCTTTACACTGACACAGGACGTGGATTGATGTTTCCTCCTTTTCTTTACAGAACCTACACAATGTTAATTCTTCTGCTGGATTGATGACACTCATGTGCCTTTTTAGGCGACAGTGTCCGGTACGAAAACCTACTGTTATCCTAACGATTTGACATTTGTGAACTTTGTCGATGGTTCCTTGATGAATTGTTTAGCTTGTCTCAATCTTGGACAGTTGTTCCACTATTCCTGATACTCTTTTTGCCTCCATTGTTTGACGGATGTCTTAGCAACTCCACAAAAGGGTTCCGGGGCCTGTAATTACCTTATCTACGCCTAGTTCGTCGGCCTCTTCGTTGCCCTGATATCTCTCGTGGCCTGGCACCCAGGCTAGGATCACCTTGTTTTGACTACTTAGCTCTGCCAGTTCTAGTCAGTCTTTCATCAATCGTGATTTGATTTCTGGTGAGAGAATTTACAGCTGCTTGGCTATCAGAGTAGATTTGTCTGATACTTGCTACGTGGCGGAAAGTGCACCTGAGTTTGTATCTCTAGACTTTCCTCTAATGTCGTAGTATAGGTATCATCCTCTTATTTGATGAATCCGACTTGATTAGATGTACTGTCTTTGGCTATAATAACTCTGTAGATTCTAACGCTTGCGGTGGTCTCTGTGACCTCTTCCCAGAACTTTTAGCATTGTGTACTTTTTGTTATAGTTTGTGAGCTAATTTTTATGAGTGGTCCAGTCTTGTGAGGATTTGGCTCTATTGAATAGCCTTCACACCTCGCATCTTAGGCTATCTAGGTGTTTATTCCACCATAATGTCTTTCTCGTTTGACATCTCTCTTTTTCTGGACAGTTTTGTTGGAAGGCATCAGTAATTGCCTTGTTTACCAATTCCACTGTTCTTTCGAGTTTTTTCTTTTCTCGTACATTGGTGATTTCTTCCTTAAGAGATTCCTCGAGGAATTTTATTTCTTCCATTCGTCTCTCTCGGATTTCTAAACCTGTCTACTGTACAAGTTGGACGTTGTATATGGAATCAGATATGTCTGTGATCTGAACACGATTCCCAATTTGTTCATTTGTGCCTTTCGAACATATGGTTGTCAGTGCCTTTATTGGCAATTTCTAACTCTTTACCTAGAATGAATGGTAAAAGTGACTCACCTCTTGGATTGATGTTGGTGCTTCCCCAAATAGTATGGTGTGCATTACATCCTATTATCCTATTATGACCTTGAGTTTGTGCTCCTCGCATTGGGCAATGGTTCTGCCTAGTATTGCTGGGGGGACAGCTCATCACCGCTCCCGGGAAGTAGGCGAAACATACGACATAGCTCTTCTCTCCCTCTTTCGTGTGGATTGATAGGATAGCTGTAACAAAATGAGCACCGTTATTAGTGTACAATTAAATATGTGGCTGTAGATTATGCAAGCGCGGGTTTTTTATTCCCTTTGTTGTTAACCTTGTTGCGGTTTTAGTTTCGCAATTTTTCCACAAACAAGCCAAGGTTCCTGCAAGAGGGCCTGATGCTCCATGTGGCTCGTTCAAGGCGTCGTGGGGTCTGCCCTTTGACCTTCCTTTGTCTGCATTGGAGAAGCCGGCATGAGAAGCTTTGTAGCGTTTTGAGAGGGTTCCCGCCACTTTTGGTAGACTTCTTCCCTTCTTTGCCCTGTGGGACGTTCGTTCTTTGGGCGGCCGGCTTTGTGATACCTCATGTTCTTGGTCTTGTTTTGGCCTTAACATTTTGCTCCATCTGTGGTTTTGTCTTTTTTTAAGCCTTCTTGGTCGATTTGAACCCTTTTCTCTTTGGTACTCTGTTCCGGTTCTTTGAGACGGAACTTTATGCATCCCATGCAAAGTACGTAGACATATCTAACTTCTCGAGTTCGGTATATGATCCCCCTCCACGGACATGTCCCAAGTTTGGCCTTTCTCCATTGGAGTTGGGGACAGAACCTTTTTTTTGCTGCTCCGGAAAGCCGGATCTCACTACTGTGATCTTCGTAGTGGCAAGTGCCCCTTTGAAGGTTAATCTTACAGTTTTGGCATTCTTTCCCACTTTTCGATTTGCAGTGGGAGCGTTGCCTTTTGTTATTTGCCTTTTTCTGGTCTTCGTATCGATCTGTATGGCCTCGATAGCCGAAGTTGTTGGTGGATTTGCTTGGGATATGACGAAGTTTTCTTTAATTATTTTACCAAGTTGTTTAGCCTTGTTCTTGTTAGGCCGGAGATGACAAAGAATCTGACTTGTGTGTCTGTCATTAGGTCTATCTTCTCTTCGGAGGTGACCCTTCTGGATTTGTTGGACTTTGTTGATATTATTGGCACTTCTGCCTGATTAACCTCCATAGCCTGGTTCGCTATCTCTGGCTCTTCTGCCTGAGATTGATCTTATTCGACTACTGCTGGTGGCACATTTGCCTGTTCAGCAGTAGAACTTTGTGAAAGATATATTTTTTTTTTCTAGTAGGTCCATAGTTGTTCCTACGAGTAGCTGGGGTAGGATATGTCAACCCGTCTAGAGCCCCGCCTTAGACGGGTAAAGCTACTTATTCGGGCCGGCCGCCCGAGTAAGCTTTACAGGTATCGTTTGACACAGCTGTTTCGAGGCAGGCACAGCTGCTACGCATTCATCGGCACGGTTTACTGACACTTTAGATTAAGTCTGGCGTTCGTCCTTCTTGTTAGTTTTCAATGGCTCCTATTTCCAATAGCATGGCATATATACCTGTGCCTTTGGCCGTAGGATCATATCCTTAAACTGCAAAACCCTCCGCTGTGGTAAAGCGAGGACCCGTGAAGTTAAGATTATCCTGTTTCAACCTCCGGCGAAGGCGAGTTGGTTCGCAGCGGCAGTTTTCGCAAAGGATTTTGGAGTTTTTACCTCCCCTCACCCTACTTATATCTGCCACTAGCTAGACAATTCGGCCGTCCTCCTATCCACCACTTGGAGACGCGCCCGGTAGACGCTCAACCCTCTGATTTTTTTCAATAATAATTGGGAAGGTGGTTGTAGAGTTTTAAGCCCACATACCTATTTAGCAGTTTTCAAACTTGGATGTTGCATTTTGCATGTTATGGAATTGCTAGATATAGTCTAATTTCTAGTTTGATTAATATAAAAAAAAGTTTACAACATGCGTTTATATTATTATTAATGATGGGCTAAAATTCTGTTGTTTAAAAATTCCAACTAGATAAAATATATACAAAGTTTTTATATACAAATCCCGATAGCTATCACATATTATTAATGTCTGCCACTAGTTTCATTTACCGTCAAAATTTCCTAGTTTCTAATTGGTCAAATCATCTGGCAACACTGCATTTTCTCCTCCTTTGTCTTCCATTTTTTCAAGAGAATTATTTTTTGGAAAAGGAAAATCAAGTGAATATATTCCCCGTGGAGTTTCAATTTCTTTCGTTTTCAAGTATACTCGCCCTGGAATAATCAAGAATATTAAGATTATAGAACTTAGCACAGTACTTGAGAATTTAGTGAACACCGTTGCCAATATTTGAAAAATATACGAATTCTTAATAAATGTTGTTCTACAAAGGTATTGATGATTCAAGCTAAGTAATACACCTGACAATTTCTTAACTTATTCCTTTACTTTCTCCCCTGAGGGTTCAGGCTCCCCCAAGTAGCCTTGGGTTCCAGCCTGCTTCCCTCCTCTGAGGTTTAAGCAATGCGGCACTACAGCATCATGTGTTTATTGTGTCAATATTAACGATTCCCTACTCCTTCCCTTCATTAAGCTCATACATTCCATTCATACATTTCGCCCTTACATTCCAC